CTCGACTCAACAATACTCAGTTCAATTACACATTACCTCCTTGCCGTCAGTTCTTACCAGTTTATATATACAAGACTACCACATATCTAGTAGGCTCTCGAGAATTCAGGAAGGGACGTGAATGTTCGAGAAGATGACGTGTTAATAGCGTCACGTGACTTCCGCTGTCCTAACAATATTCAAATAGTTACCAGCAAAACTTGATTCTTAGCGTAACTCTAGACATATTATTCAATAAGTTCTTGAAATAAAACTATTTTAAATGTTGTGTTTCCTTTAGAATCACCAGACATTAACATGAATAATAGTAAGTATTTGTTGTTTTTATACTTAGAGAAAAGTACTGTTACGTATTTGCTTGTTTGATAATTTCCGGTAAAATTCTTTTCGAGGAACTTCAGCGATACAAGTCTTTTCTTGGTTAAACCAGTTTATTCTTCCTCGATACAAACTTTTAGCACACAGTAATTTCACAATCAATACGTTTCTCGTCACTTTAAACTTAACTACTTTTATAATACACGCTATAAATCACAGCGATTCACAATCTCGAAAACACACACTAGCTCGAAACAGAATCGTAAATTACCCGGAATTCTCTTCATTCAATCCCGCAGGCTTTCTATGTCAGGCTTATATACTAAAAAAGAGGCGTTTCGATCGCACTCGAGCCTTCCTGAAAATTCGAGAAACTCAGCCACGTATGCTCTGTGTCATAGGTCTTCCACTGTCGTAACAGTACAATGGCCTACTACGTATTCATTTTCTTAATATTTTATATTTACTCAAATTTTATAAGTTGTGTGAATAACTTCGTATTTTATTATTGAAAACGACTTTAATAAAGTTTAGTGTATTGTTATTTTTTAGACCATGACGTGCAATGATGTGTACATGTCTGGCATTACTGTTCTTTATCCCTTCTGTGAAGCCTAGCCTACTCTGACACATGTCATATGTATAATATTGGGCGTATGTTTATAATCTCCCACAACTTGTTTCTTATTCGTTATCTTGCCTCTTTCTAAGGACGACAGAAAGTCAGTGTATGGAAATGATCACGTTTATTATCTCTTACAATCTGTTTTTTTTTATATTATATCTGTAACCTCCAGCTAACCTTGATAGATCAGGTGAACAGTGGTGGAGATATATCCATAATCTCTTACAAGATACAATCTGTTTCTTATTCTGCTCTTACCCCCAGCTAACCCTGATAGATTCATATATATAATTTTAACAGCTTGTTTTTGTCGAATATCTTAACTAGGTAACACTGATGCATCCAAAATCTATAATGATGGGGGCACCAGAAGTTCTTCAGCTCTTACAGAATTTGATTCGTGCTATCAAAGCAAAAAATGTCATTGACGTTGGTAAGTTCAACTTTTCTCTATATATACTCCATTTCTTAATTGAGCGCCTTTATTTCTATTCTAGTTTTTATTGCAGTACTCTAGAGATTTTGTATTCATGCATATTTTCTGTTTATGGTAATTTGTTTCTTACACTCTTTACGTTCTACTTTTCATTTTACATTTCACCGTCTTATGCTCTGGAGTTTACCTGAAAATCTGTTCTAATTGTACGGTTTCGTTACTGTTTGGAACCTTTAGAAATGTGTACTATATAAGCATTAGGGTATATACTTTTTAAATATTTTAAACAGTCAGTGGCGACATCTTTTAACGTATTTGCTTTATTGCATGGCTGTCTAGAAATTAAGAATTATTTGTGAATGTGTGTATGTGTCCTAAGTTTTCTGTAATCTATTAGTCGTACGGCTATTTACCCTAGAAAATCCGTACCATAGGGACCCAGAAGAGTATATCAGCGTCTATAAAATTATAGTGTTTATTTTAAAATAAGAAACTTATCCGTTTAATATGGCATAGCTGTTTTCTTTAGGCATATTGGTCTGGCATGGGCTGGTGGTTAGGGCGTATGACTCGCAATGTGAGTATCGCGGGATGGTAACCTGTCGTTGAATATGCTCGTTCTCTCAGCCTTGGGAGAGTTATAATGTGACTGTTAATCCTACTATTCGCTGGTAAAAAAAAAAAAACTTAATAGTAGGGCCCGGCATGGCCAGGTGGTTAAGGCGCTCGACTCGCAATCTGAGGGTCGCGGGTTCGAATCCCCGTCACACCGAACATGCTCACCCTTTCAGCCGTGTGGGCGTTATAATGTGTTGGTCAATCCTACTATTCGTTGGTAAAAGAGTAGCCCAAGAGTTGGCAGTGGGTGGTGATGACTTGCTGCCTTCCTTCTAGTCTTACACTGCTAAATTAGGGACGGCTAGCGCAGATAGCCCTCGTGTAGCTTTGTGCTAAATTAAAAAAAAACAACACAAACAAACTTAATAGTGGGTGATGTTGACTAGCTGTCTTCTCTCCAAAAATTTAACAAAAACAAAGAAACCTTTAGGCAAGGGTAAATAACTTGATGCTATTCACATTAAACATGGCAGAGTTATTTCCTTTTTGGCTCTGGTTATGTTATGTTAGGTTTTACACTTTGCGTTATTATATCCTATATTGTTTACATTAAATATAGCACATTTGTTTCCAATAGGTAGTGGTTAGGTTGGGCTTTACACTTTCTTTATTATACCCTATATATTTTCACATTAAATATAGCATATTTGTTTCCTTTAGGCACTGATTAGGTTAGGCTTACTTGGCTATGCCCTGTAGTTTTGACAGTAAATATGAGACACGTTTATTTTAGGGACTGATTAAGGTTATGCTTTCTTTATTATGTTCTACTAACATATAGACTGTCAAAAATGACAGGGCAAGTACTACCACCCCCACCACATAGTATACCCTAACCTCACATTTCATAGCTAACTGAAATAAATAAAATTTGCGAAATCAAACTTTTTCGAAAAGAGGCAGAAAAGTGCAGCCGAGGCATTCAAACGTCGGTAAATTCCTTTGTGAGCCAATCAAAATTAAAATAATTCATGAATCCGTGGCGTATTCGTAGAATGATTATTGATAAGAATCAGTTAGATTAACAACTAATATATGTAGAAAAGCTAGTTCGTTTTGGTAACACTATGTTCCAACACTGATTTTATGTCATGTTGCTTAGAAACAAAAGTATAACCAAATATTATTGTTAGCCGATGTACCAAAAATATAAATTGAAATGTATAGACAACATAGCTGTAAATATATTTGTTGATTTCTTAATTTAGAGTCTCTGTTGGTTAAAGAGTTTTGTTTATTATTTAAAACGTTGGTGATATAACAGAATATAGCTTAATTCAGAAACGATTTAAGTTAAAATTGAATCGATATTTTTACTCTCATGATAAACTTTATGCAATTGGCTCTAGGCTAGGTGATCCCACACTACGTCTTTACTTTAGGCTTATTATACTGTTTTGGCTCTGGTCGCTAGTTAACTTCCCGTATAATTTCTTTCCGATGAAACTTTAGCGACACAAGTCCTTTCTTAAATAAAACTAGTTTATTCTTTCTCAATACAACTTTGAAATTCACTTAATTTCAACGGTCACACTATAAGTTAAACAAACGCTATAATTCACAACGAACGACACGCGCTCGACCCAACAATACGTCTCTATCTCTGTCTGCAGTTCAATTACATTCCATTCTTGCCGTCACTTTTTGGCGGCTTATATATATATATATATACAAGAATACCCCATATCTAGTAACCTCTAGTGGCTTCAGGAAGGTACGTGAACGTTCGAGAATATGACGTGTTACTAACATCACGTGACCCCCGCTGTCGTAACAATACTAACACTCACTATACTTATAAGATTTTCCTGAACACCCACTCTTACGGTCCCTTTGCACCCCCGTCACTAAAATTGTAATGGGCAGACAGTAATCAAACTATTCTATCTGGATAAATGCATTTTTGCTTTTATGACTTCTATATTGAGAAATCAAGCATGATGTGACGTGACGTGGCACACAGTGGCCTTTATATAGGTTAGATATTTCTCACATTAAATATAGTATATTTGTTTCCTTTAGGCACAGCTTTATGCTTTGTTTTATTATGTCAGTGGTGTAGTGGTAAATATAGAAGTATTATAACGCGTTTAACCGTTTAGTGTAGGATTCGTTCGTAATAGTGGCGTTACTGTGCTCCAACTAAAAAAAAGTACAGATACGCCGTGTCCACGCGTTCCCATCCCACTACACCTCTGATTGTCTTATATTTCACCCCCATTAAATATTGAGTATTTGTTTCTTTTAGGCACGGTTAGGTTTACTTTGTTATATCCTGTAGTTTTTACAGTAAATATGACACGTGTTTGTTTTGGGGACTGGTTAAGGCTACGCATTGCGTTTTCTTTATTATATTTTTCACATTAAATATGACATATTTGTTTCCTTTAGGCACTAGTCAAGTTACACTTTATACTTTTTTATTATATCCTATATTTTTCATATTAAATATGACATATTTCTTTTCTTTAAACACTAATTAGGTCGGGCTTTAAGATTTGTTTCCTTTAGGTACTGATTAGGCTAACTTTTTTATGACCTGTATTTTTCTTGCTATTTGTTCATCGCAAGTATGATCGATTAACGAATATTTTTACTAAACTTAATGGACTGGATAAGCAACTTAAGTTTTTCCTTATCGCTTCTCATTCTCTACAGTGTAATGGTTACTTTATAAAGATATTGTTGCGTCAGCGAGGTCACGTGACTAGTATCACGCCACCTCTTTCTAGAAATATCCTGTTCCTTCATGAATG